CCCTGAAGCCTATAAATTCCTTACAGACCTCTCAATATCTCCAGTAGTTAGTGAGGTCAGAGCTGAAACCAGAGTGTGTGCTCTAAGACCCCTGCCCCAGCATGTAGTCTCACCTCACTGCTGCGTGTCTGACCTATAAACATTTCACCAAGAATAGCATTTCAAGACTTAACTCAATTCAAAACAACTAATGCTGTTATGTAAACTTAAAAAACACATGGGCATTCAGTGTCCATTGAATGTAGTTGTCTCAAACAGTCATTTAGGTTTTTCTAACCACGTCGGATAGAACGCTAAATATCTAACTTCAGCTCGTACATAACTTTGGGGTCCTTACAGTTTAGGAATTGACCTTAAGACAGCTTCACTCTCCTTCAGTGTGAAAACTGCTTTTATTTAAAAAGAAGAAGAAGAAAAAACTACTTGTTGAAAGTATATAGTACTTTCAATTTTTAAGAAATGAACTTCAGGGTCCGTTTTGTAGCACTTTACATGTAGACATTGCCAGAAGGCTGGGCTTTCTGAAAAGGCTTAGTGTGAAAAGCAGGATGAGGTGGGTGTTTGCAGAGTTCACTGGGAAGAGGTGGGATAAAAATGTGTCAAAAGAGCTCAGTGGGTAAAGGTGCTTGCTGCCAAGCCTGATGACTGGAGTTCAGTCCCAGGAACCTACATAGGAGAAGGTGAGAATTCTCTACATAGTTGTCTGCAGACCATCATACTTATACATGCACATGATAAATAAATATTAAAAAAACTAAAAAGACAATAATACCACCATAAAAAAATGTTATGTCCAATGATACATAGGGTTAGGGTTAGTTATGGTTGCTTGCCAGGCAGTACTGTCTCCTGGTGACCAGATAGCAGAAAGTTTGTTTCAGAGCCATGTGTGATCTTTCCTTAAAGAAAACAAGGCAAGAGAATGTTGTCAATACTTTAAAAACAAGACAAAAAATTTGGATTTGATTTTTGACAGTTTTCTTATTTAGAGTAACCATATACTAAATATTCATAAATGGCTACCATAAGTTATACAGTTTACATAAATCATATAACATTTTCCTAGTTCACTCTTGCAGATTACTTGCATTGAGAACTATCTTTTTCTTAAGCTTTGCTACATGTTAAACTTGTTAAAACTGCCATTTCAATAACCTGGTAATTACAAAACGGTGGTAAAGCATTGAATACTGAAATTTTCTCCGAGTTAAATAAATAAGAGAACTTATTAAGTAACACAGCAATGTTGCTGTTTGCTGTCTCTGTTTGGAGCAGTGGTTAGGTTACACTGGTGTTTACTCTTGGTACAGATTGCCTACGAAAGTATGAAAACTGTAAAGCCTTTCTTTTCATCTGGAGTTTATATAAGGATGTGTGTGTGCACACATACGTGTGACCCATATTTGGGTACCTGCAAAGCCTGAAGAATGTGTCGTAAGCAGGAGTTACAGGCAGTTGTAAACCACCTGATGTGGGTGCTGGGACCTAAGTTTGATCATGGAAGAGTTAATTTAAGTCATTATATTACAATCACCTTCATATTACAGTGCTTGCCTTTGTTATCTAGAGAAGAAGCTTAAAGTATAAGAAAAGGCCCTTGATAAGAGCTTAGAAAACTTGAGGACAGAATTTAATAAACTTGGTATAGATAGCAGTTTTAGTTGATCAATCTTTACCTGTCTTGACTCCCTTCTTTCAAAATACACACGCTTCCATTTTGTTAGACTATAATCAGTCTGACTTAATCTCAGGTTTAGACAGTTGAGGTTAGTAGGTATTGAGTTGGATATGCATGTAAAATAGCATGCATATGATGACTGACTATGCCTTTTTCTTTTCTGGTTTCAATGAAAGGATGCTGTATTTACCACCAGGAGACTATTAGTCTCAGGTACTTGGAATACATCTCAGTTCTGATAGCTCAGACATAGAGAACAGATAAATGCCAATGTTTCAAGGCTAACACTAGAAAGAACTGGAGGTGTGGGGGGATGAGGTAGGGAAGTGCAGGCAATGCCACAAGGTTATTGGCTGTGGAACAACTTCTGTTATATAGAACCTGAGCTTTTGCAGTTCTTCAGTAACGCTTCAGAAAAGGAACACATAGCAGAGGTGGAAGGATGGATAGGTTGATAAAGCTTAAACCCTTCAAAAAAACAAAACAAAAAACTAAAAATAAGTACAAAAGAACTAGAAATTATTGTACCCCATGTAAAGCTGGATACACTTCTGCAGGTGTGTGTGTGTGTGTGTCTGTGTGTGTGTGTGTGTCCATAGGTGTCAGATCCTTTTGGAGCTGAGTTACAGCTCAGTGTGAGCTGCTGCACACATGGCTGCTGGTAAACAAACACAGGTCTTCTGAATCTCTCTAACCCTAATCAGTTTTTTAATTACATGCCCAAATATGCCTTTTGCTGAAGTTACCCTAGAAACTTGAGAGTTCTGTTTGTGTGGTTTCCTTAAATCCCTAGAATTTTAAAAGAATTGAGGATGAGTTCTGTTTTTATGTTGAGGAATCTTTTTCTCATTTTTAATTGAGGTTATTTCCATTTTAACAAACAGCATATGTTCTATTAGCTAGAAATAAATTTCTTTGAAATCTTATCTCCTCTTTAAAAGAATTAAACTTGTGGATTTAGGGGCTTAAATAGCCGGGTTAGGAGGAGGATGGACTTTTCTTGGTTTTGTTTTTGTTTTCTAAGATTTATTTCACTTTTAAATATGTTCATGCATGTGTGAGACTGGGCAAGATTGTGCAGGTACTAGTAGAAGCCAGGAGATAGCTTTGGCTCTTAGAGGTTGGCATTACAGGTTATTATGAGCTGCCTGTCAAGAACCCTGGGGACCAAACTTGGGGCTCTGCAGGAGCATGTTTGCTCTCTGTGCTGCTGTACCGTACCCAGCCGCCCTGAAGATGGGTTTATTTTTCAAAAACTTGTAGAATGTTGAAGATTTTAAGGACTAAGGTTCTTATGAAAATCAGAATATTTTAGGAAAAAATAAGTGGAGACATACAACCTTCTTTGACTTAGTGTAAAAGGGGCAGCTTGGCTTTTCCTTGATGAGCTTTAATTTGCTGTTTGATGACAGGTATTCCTATGGAATTTATTTGCGATTCAACACTTCTGTGTAGGTATTGCTTAGGGAAATTTAAATGCTGCCTTGTTAGGACAGGTTCAGTGGTCAACCTTCATAAAACTGGTATAATTTAGTAAAGTTTTATGACTAGATTATTTCAGATTCCCCCACACACACCCCATTTGTAAATACAGAGTAAACAGTTCTGCCAAAATGATTGTAATTCCATATTTCTTAAAAAAGGGAGTGTTGAGAAAAAAGTCAATGGGTATCTCCAAATCACTGTTGAAATACAGTTTTTGGACCATAGCTCAGAAATGTTATTTATGATTTTTTATATTAATGAGTTTTCTCTTAAACTGTATAAGCAGTGTTGAATCTGTTCCTAGAAGGAAAATAATATCCAACCAGAACTGATATTAAAGTATGTAAAAAGTGTACCAAATGATGAGACTTGTCATCATATAAAAAATTCTGTAGACACCACTTCCATCTTAGAGTTTAATTCCCTACACCCTTTCCATGGACACAGCTTCACATCTGTTATTTTACTTCTTTAAAAATCATAATTGGGATTCCCTTCTATTAATGTCATTACATTGTAGACAGGTTTCTTTGAACTACATTTTTGTAAGCTAAATATTGAGAGTTTCAAATTGACTTATAGTTGCACTTTGGATGATATGGTAGCCATGGCAGTTACTTCTCCCAACGTCTCAGGAGCTTTATGGCTTTTAAATAACTATGTTGTTAAATCTGTTGACTTTTTTACTTCGTCATCTGTGTTTTGTGGATACTTGTATTTCTAACTTTTTATATTAATTTCTAAAGAGACATTTATCTTCAATATAAAGTATTATAAATAATATGTTAAATATTGGATACATTTTTTATAGTATGCAATGATCATAAGGATGAGTTTCAATTTTGATTATTAGTTTTAGAGTTGTGTGGTAAAGCATTGAAGTTTCTCTGTTACATGAGAGATGAGTATAGATACTACCCGTGATAAATTAATTTCTTGTCTGGTAATATGTAGGCATTGAGTTGTAAGAGAGATACACTGTAAGCCCCTTTCCCCAAAAAATATGTAGAAAGGATTGCTTTCCTGGTTATCTGAAAATATACTAAAATCTACACGTAACTAACTTCTGCAGTTAGACGCTCATCTCCTTTGGCTTTTGCTGCTGAGAGATGCTAGAGCACTACACAAACATGCAAAACTCATAGCAAAACCAAGGTCTAAAAAACACGAGAGTCCAGTTTTGACTTATCCAGAATTTTCTGATCAAACATAGGAAAAGTTGTTTTGCTTCTTTGTGTAGTGCCGTGCTGGGCTCTGTGGTAGGCGAGGAATAGAGCACCACGGATTTCTTAGTGTTTGAAGTCTCTGATTAGGGTCTGGCCATTTATTTATTCTACCCTTTTACCTCTGTATCCCACTACATGGGCTTTTGAAACTTGGGCCAGTTTGCCCTGTTAGCAGTTTTCTGCTAAGGAGCAGCTTACAGTTGCTCTGTTTCCTGCTCTGACAGGAGGAAATGCCTAGAGGGATCTTTAGAATCTCAGCTCCTGCTTTCTACCCTCTTTCTGAACCTGACTGGTGCAGCTTTGGGAAAATCAGCTTTGCTTCCACCTCTGTCCTCCTCCTCAGTAAAGGACAAGTTTCTGTTATAAAGAAACAGAAACACTCAAAGGAAGACTTTGGATTGTTTTTGTTTTTTGAAGGTACTAGGATTTATAGCTGAGCAGATTGAATAAGTTGAGTAAAAGGTCAGCTGCATTCTGTTTTTAACTAGATTTCTAGGTGTATTTACTAACCTAACCACCACATAGACCTATTTATAACGTGAAGTTTGCCTTTAACGTCACGCAAGTACAAAGCACAGTAGTGCTTGTAACACTCTTCCATGTTATTGTAGGTAACTAAATGACCATGGAATCTGGAGCAGACAACCAGCAGAGTGGAGATGCTGCTGTAACAGAAGCTGAAAATCAACAAATGACAGTTCAAGCCCAGCCACAGATTGCCACATTAGCCCAGGTATAAAATAGAGATTCCAAGCTGTGTCTCTTCCAAGAGCAATATGTTTCCAAGAGAATTTAATTTTTAATAAAAATATACATAGAATGAATGAAAACTTCTTAATATCAGAATTCCTGCTTACTATTAACATTAGCTTATCCTTAGAAATGATACTAGTTAATTAACATATAAGTAAAATGCACCATTAAACATTAATATAGTATATGTAGTGACATGATCCAGAAATAATTAATTTTTTACTAACAAATGAATTAAAACCTTGATTACAACAGTTGTCTTCTTTTTCGTTGTTGTTTTTAATACCACACAGACTTATTTTGGGATCTGGAGGTGCAGATAATTTGAAAGCCTAAATTTATATATTCTAATACTAAAAAAGCAGAATAAACAAATAAATTGATGTGTGAATCAATCCTAAGGATAAAAGCAGCCTCTCTTTCCTGTGCATTTTAAATACATTTAGTCTGGTTTTAAGTATCTTGTCCTTAAGGCTTTCATCAATTTTTTTTTTTTTTAATTAACAAATTTTTACCTAAATGTTAGTGAAACAGTGCTTAGTATACAAACCAAATAAATATAAACCTGCTAGGGTAAAATATGGTGTTTCCTTCTCCCATTTTTGGACACAGAATATTGTCTCTGGGTGTTCTCAAATACACAGAGATCCACCCTCTGGATTAAAGGTATGTGCTACCACGCCTGGCTGTTTTCCTCTTTAAAGGGAAGGCTCCCAGACAAAAATAATCCTGGCCAAAGCTTTGCTTTGCCTAGGTTCGGTTTCTCCAAGAGTTAAACATCTACAGTGGAAGTGGCTGATCAGAATAAGTCCTGGGAAATACAGGGCTCCAACAGGAAGAGAGTCAGAAAGAGTAAGGCTGACTGTGTTTCCCCTGCAAATCTCAGGAGTGAGACAAAACCCGATATACTTGGAAATAAGTCAGTACATCAGATGAGACGGCAGCTAGTCTAGGGTTAGTAAAACAAGCACAGAGAAATTGGGGCTCATTTGAGCATTTAGCTGAGCAGGTTCCTTGATAATGACAGCCTTTGGCATGTCTTCTGTCCTGGTCACCATATTCTGTCTGGCCTGGTTGTTCCCTGGGTTGACTTTAGAGAGTCATCTTGGAAATTTTTTCTGCTCTCATGACTTTTTCTTAAGGAATTTGTATTTTTGATAAGGTAGAACATGTAGCTAACAGAATCTTGAGAAGAAAAGATTAGCTGGGGTAAGGATCTGTTTTGTTTTCTGTGGTCCACTTAATGTTGCTCACAAATGTTGAGAAGACTTACTTTTACTTCTTATATCTTGTGTGTTATACCTTAGATCTCTACTTAGAATGAGTACTAATAAATTAGTTTATTTTATTCTCTGTATCCAGTGGCTGTTTTATAGTGGAAACTGATCCCCTCTGTTTTGGGAAACTTCTGTCAATTAGTTGGTGGTGGTTTTGTTTTTCATGTCTTTCAGGATCATTTAGATCCAAACTATTAGGCTTCTGGGACTGTTTTTGGTAGTATTTGTTTCTTCATTTTCATCATACTTTCTTTGCTATTTTTCAGTCTTTTTGCTCTACTTCCTTGGAGGTTCTTAAATCCCCTCCATCCTGGCTGCTGAATTTTTATTTTGCTATCATGTTTCCAAGAGTTCTGTTTGTTCCCTGGATAGTCCTTTGTTATTTTCATAGTATCCTATGTATCATAAGACAGTATCTTCTTTTATCCTCAGATGAAGGGGTTTGTTTGAGGGTTGTGGGGTTTTTTTGTTGGTGTTGTTCTATTCTTTTTTTTTTTTTTAATTTTTATTACACTTTATTCATTTTGTATCTCCCCTGTAGCCCCCTCCTTCCACCCCTCCCAATCCTTTCTTCCCTACCACTGCCCCACACATGTCCCTCCCCAAGCCCACTGATAGGAGAGGTCTTCCTTTCCTTCCTTATGACCCTAGTCTAGTCTATTAGGTCTCATTAGGAGTGGCTGCATTGTCTTCCTCTGTGGCCTGGTAAGGCTGCTCCCCCCTCAGGGGGAAGTGATCAAAGAGCAGGCCAATCAGTTCATGTCAGAGACAGTCCCTGTTCCCATTACTGTGGAACCTACTTGGCCACTGAACTACCATGGGATACATCTGTGCAGGGGTTTAAGGATTATCTTCATGAGTGGTTGGGGGTTATTTTATTTTGAGTTTCTTTTTATCATGTGGCCATACCATATATATATATAAAAAAAAAAAAACCTTTTATTCTCCTGTTTCAGTTGTCTCAGAGGCTTATTGACTCCTTTTGCTAATTTAGGTATAGTCATGGAAGCTTCTAGCTTCTATAATCTAGAATATTTTCAGCCTCTAAAGACTTACTGCTGAATAAGCTCACCGTTACCTGTTCTTTCTGAGCTCTGGGCTGGCAGGTTCAAGTCAGCTGTTCTGGCTCAAACTCCTCTCCCAGCTGATTTATTCAATCTGGCCTGTATCTCTAGACCCCTGAATGGCTCTGCTTGGCTTCAAACTAACTCTAGCAACCTGCTCTAATCTCCTGTCTCCTTCTCATTCCCTGGCTCATTCATTTGGTCTTCACCTGAGTTCTCTCTTTGCAATGTCTTTCTATTACTGTCTCAGTAAAAACTGCCTCCCCTGCCCCCCAACCCCTGCTCCTCTCTCTGCATTGCCCCTTCCTTTCCTCTCTGTTCTCTGAGTTGGGCGTATCCTATTCTCTCAAGTCTTTCTCTGATTCATCTCTATTTCTGCCACTCAATTAAATATCATTTTCAAAATGAGTGCTTTCTTCTAAAAACAAACTTTACCATCATTGTTTGAGATTAAAGGTGTGTTCCACCACACCTGGACCTAAGCTTTTCTCAACCTGAAGCTTGTTCTCTACCAGGCTGGCTTTGAACTCAGGTCTGCTTGCCTCTGTCTCCTGGATTGAAGGCGTGTTTGTATTCTAGCTGGATCACATAGACCTAGAAGGTCTTTGAATGTGATCACTTGCCAGAGCAGCCATGTTCTAATCTAAATTTCTCTACAACATAGCTCTTCATCTCCGTTTCCAAATGGAGATGTCTTACACTCCCATCTTCTTAACACTCTAGATGCTTGCTCAGGATTAAAGTGGGGTGGGGGGGCGTGGAGGGGAGAGGCTAGGAGGTAGGATTGTAACGTAATGGTAGAGCATGTACATGGCACATATAAGGCCCTATGCTCATGCCTCAACATGGAATGATTAATAGATATAAAATGGCTGAGAAGCTACTTTGAAATCTTTGTGGAACAGCTCCAAACCGGGAACTTAACTTTTGAGCAGCAGGTGGTTTTAGCCCTTAGTGTCTTGGATCTTGAATTTGACTAGGTCTCCAGAAGTTTCACTAATCCTCTGTTTATATGGGAAAGGGGACCTGCGAACCAAGGGAGAGAGGGGGGCTGTGATTTCATAGTGACTTTCAGGCAACCTGGAAGTGTTAAGACCCATTATCTATATAATTCTCCACTCCTCTCTCACAGTAGGTCAGATTTTCTTCTACAGGGATTGAGAAAGGATTCATTTGTTCCCAAAGAGTTTACAATGTACCCTCTATTTATTTTCAGCGTTTCTCTTTATGTCACCTTTTAGTGTTGGAGATCCTGAACATCTGGATTTTTGTGGTCCAAGTCAGACTTTTCCCTTCCTCTGTGATTTGACCATTTGTCTTTTTGGTTGGTTACTATTGATCTGTCTGTTCTTCAGCCTCCAAAACTACTGCCTCCTTTCCTAGTCTCCACACCTACATGATCATGTATTAAAAAGTGAAATCAATTTCATGAAATATAATTTAGAATTCAGAAGGGAACATGTTCAGCTTATTATTAGATAATCCTCCAGCATTGAAGACTTAAAAGTGGAATATGTGGTTGAACCTAGCTTTACCTTTTCTCCTTTCTTCTTGTTCAGTTATGGTTGTATTTTTCATTTGCTGATCCAAGTTCCTGAACCACACTTATGGGGAAAAAAAAAAAATCTTTTTTTTTTTTTTTTTTTGACAGTTTGTTTATTTGGATCATGTTCATCGCCTCTTTACCCTTTCACTCCGACCAGACCTCTTCTTTCCATGATCTCTTTTACTTTGATGTTCTTTTCTTGTTGTTTTACCCACTGAGTTTAATTATGGCTGCTTGCATGAACGTGAGTGGGGAGTTACTGAAGCATGGACTTGTCAGTGACTATGCCCCTGAAGACAATGTCTGTTGCTCTCCCAGCAACTGTTAACTGTTACTAGTTCCTCAGAGAGCTTATGAAGCCCTACCACAATCCAGGATAAAACGTTACAGGCCCCATCGTATGCATGTCTTATGCAGGCTGTTAGTGTAACAGCAATGTCATGTCCAGAACACAGACTTTCACAGCCTCTCCTCCCATCTTCTGACGCTTATATCTCTTCCACCTCCTCTCTCGCAGTGTTCCCTGAGCCTTGGAGGGAGGTGTATATCATAGATTCTGACAGAACTTCCTGTTATTTCTGATTCTAGATAACTTTTTAATGCCAATTTTTAAATACTAGGAAAGTATTGTAAAGCTAAGGCAAGATGATAATGATATTATTGTCAATGAATAGTAGGAGTAGGAAGAAAGCAAAATCAGTCCAAGTAGTAAAGGAAGAAAGATAATCAACATAAAATATATCTTATTTTCTTTTAAAATTTAAGGTTTAATAATACCTGTGGTTTTGACGGTGAGAATATATTTTAGTTTATTAAGACAGTGCATTACTGTTCCCCTAGGACTTACACTTGGTGATGCTGACTCAGCCTCCTCAGTCTTGGGATTACAGATATTTACCACCACACACAGATGAGAATGTAAAATTGTAATAAATCTAAGTAAAAAGTAATAATAGGACATTATTAAATAATAAACTTATATTATGTAGCCATATTTTTAGTAAGACTATGCAGAGATATTTATAATAGATTTTAAAACCAAAAAATAGGCTCCATGGTAGTGTATTGTAAAAATTGAATGCATCTGTGTGTCTTGAGAAACATCTGTCAACCATGTCTCACTTGTGACCAGGCCACATGCTACCCACGATGGTTGTAAATGTAGCCAACACATTTGTAGGTGACAGCATTACAGTGTCAAGTTAGGATACCTGTGAGAGGAAAGCCCTTGCCTAGCGGGCACAAGGTCCTAAGTTTAATCACTGGCACTGAAAAAAAATAGCTAGAATATGGCAAAGAATGCTATAGTAGTTCTGGTAGTAGGGATTTTTAGCTAGGCCTTGTGGGACAGGCCTGTGATAACAGCTTCTTGGGAGTCTAAGGCATGAGAACCACAAGTTCACTGTCAGCGTTGGTAATCAATTGAGACTCTGTCCTAAAATTGAAAAAAAAAAAGGAGGACTGGTGATATATTTTCATGCTGGAGGACTTTGCACCCATACACACAAGAAAGGGGGTTAGCTATATTTAATTAAATAGACTTTTATGCCTCTATAAACATAAATGTGAGGCACCTTGATGAGTAACCAAATGGATGCATGGAAAAAGACATTGACAGTGTAAATAGTCAAACGACTTTCTATGGAATTAAGGTGAGACACTCAGCTCATAGTACCTTGATGGCTGAACCCTTGAAACTTGAGGACACAATATCTTTGATTTCTTCTTAGATTTGATGTTATAAACAGGGCAACGTGTTGACTCTGAAGACAGTCCTGGCACCACATTTAGAGAACCAGGTAGAGAGCTAAACATGACTTAAGGTGACCAGAGAGAATAGGACTAATACAGAAGGGGTTTTGACTGTCCAAGAAAAGAGCCTGGTATGTTTCCATCTATGTGCTAAAGATAGCTTGTCTTGTTAATAAAATGTAACTGATAAGAAAAAAATAAAATTCAAAAACAAACAAAAAAGATAGCTTATCTTTAAAAGCTCTTTTCCCCAGCTTCACCACAGTATTACTTCTTCCTGTGTATCCGTATTCACATTCAGTACTATACCTTTTACTACAACCCCAGCAACCCCAAACCTTGTCCCTCTTTCACTCTGTTTCAGTTGGCATATTTTCCTACTTTCTTTCATCTTTAATGCTCTCTGCAGCCAGTCATTCCTTAAGCCTTTCTTGAAGCTGCCTCTAGATTTTCACAAAGTTGCTTCTCTCAGCCCTATCCTTAACCACCCACCACCCTATTTCTAGCCTTCATCACCTTGCTCATGAATAGGCTTTCTCATGGTACCCCATCTCCAGTTTTCTCTCTTTGAAGTGTATGCCTGTCATTTAGCCACCAAAGTGATTGATCTAAAAATGCAAACCTCACCATGCTATATATATAGTTCAAAAAAATCCCTTCAGCAATTCCTCTTAGAGCCTCAGAATAAGTGAAAGTTACTTTGTTTTGTTTTTGAGATAGAGGCTTTCAAAATCACTCAAGCTGGCTTTGCCTGACAATAGTCCTTCTGCTCCAGCCTCTTTAGTGTTGGAATTATGAGCATACACCACTCATAGAATGAAATGGAAGATTTTTTGTTTTGAGACATACTTTCACTATACCGTTGGCTTACTGGGAGCTCTCAGTGATTCTCCTTCCTCTACTCCCCAAGTGCTGGGCTTAAAGGCATGTGCCACTCTGCCTGTCTTAAAGTTTTTACTGGGGCATACAGAGAGGTTTGATGACTAGACCACTGAACCCTTTTCAAATCTCTTATTGTATCTCTACTGATACACTGAGCAGTCATGTGTGTCTTTCCACCATTTTACATGCATGCATGCCTGTACATAACACACATGGGTCAGTAACTTATTTTGAAAGACCCGTATCTTTTCTATTTTTGTAGTTTTTATTATAACATTGTTCTTGGTATATGACTCCTGGTTACTATTTACTAAATGAACAATAAAAATTCTATCTTAAATATGTTGGAGCTTGGGAAAAATAAATACTATTTGATAGACATGTCAGTAAATTTAAGAATTCTTAAGAATTGGATATTGCGTCATTAAAATTGCCTTTTTTGTGCCTCAAGAAAAAAATAGTTGTTTTCATATATATATATTTTTTTCCTGGCTCTGCTCCTTTATTCATCCAAAATGAAAACACTTCTTAAAATTCCACCTATTACCAGATTAGTGCTTTTTTGAAATAGGAGAAATCGAAACTTTTAATTATACTGCATATACTTTCTTGTTAATGAAAGACATGCTTGTAGTTAGTCTAAAGTGAAATAATAAAATGTATGTTTTAGAATGTGTTGTTCTAAACTTAGTCTTTCTTGACCATATTTGAAAAGTTAAGATATTAAAACATGGTTTAACACCAGGATATTCTGAATACATTTATGCATAAGGCCATCGTGTCTGACATTGACCTTGAGTGAATTCATCTCTTAGCATATTTTTGCCTTTAAGTAAAGATAATCCTTATTACTTGGCCTTTAATTTAAAGAAAAATTGGATATACAAAGCAGGCAGAGTCTGGCGTGGTGGCACACACATTTAATGCTAGCACTTGAGGCAGAGGCAGGCAGATCTCTTTCCAGCCTGTTCTGCAAAGCTAGTGCAGGACAGCCAAGGCTACAAAGAAAACCCTTCTGTGGGGGGGGGGGGGGAAGGCAGGCAGGAAAATGAAAAGCACCATGTAAATTAGGTGTTCTTTAGGCTTCTGCTGCATGTTTTGATAACTGGCTTTTTTTTTTTTTTTTTTTTTTTTTTTTTTTTGGTCGCTTGTGATGGGTTGAAAAGTAGTGGGGAGGAAGATTTTTAGGGTTTGAATTTTTTTTTTTTTTTGAGAGCATTAAATTGTTAATTTCTTTCACATTGTTGAAATACTTATCAAGCAGGAAAGTCCTATTTTTGCTTATTAGGAATTACTTTATACTACTTTGTATTAAACCTGAGTGGTCCCACAGAGGTTTCTGTGATGGTAATTGCTTTTCATGTTTTTATAGGTATCCATGCCAGCAGCTCATGCGACATCTTCTGCTCCCACTGTGACCTTAGTGCAGCTGCCCAATGGGCAGACAGTCCAAGTCCATGGAGTTATTCAGGCGGCCCAGCCATCAGTTATTCAGTCTCCACAAGTCCAGACAGTTCAGGTATGCATATAAAAGTTCTGCATAGACTTGAATAACTTGTTTTTAGCCATTTCTGTCTCCTTTCATTACTTGTATTAATAAGGACACATCTAGTTTAGATTTATTTTACTTAGTAAAAGTAAAGTAGTAAAAGAATATGTTGTATCTGTATTGTTCTATTGTATGTTCAAGACAGGCCGAAAGAAAATCACTTTTTTTTTAAAAGCTACAGAAGAAAAAGGCATTTAAAGAGATGGATAGTAAACAAGTAATTAATGGAAATGTTTGGGAAAGACTATAGGACTGATGTATCTCAACTAAGGAAAATTAACTTTAAAATGAACCTAAGTTCATATGGGAAAAGGCTTGATAAATATTAATTGATAATCTTAATACCTGAGATAGGATTTACTTAGAGATCACATCAGACTTCATGTTAGCTGTTTAAAGCTTTTAGGTAGAGTATATAACTTTGAAATAATAATATAATCAGGTACATCATAAGGATCATTGATTGTACCACATATACTATCTTGATTCTTTGGAGACTTTGCTCCTTTGGGATAAAGGGAATAAAGGCACTCTAGGTATCTGAGTACCTTTAGTACCTAGGTATCTAGGTACCCAAGAGCAGTAACAGTATAATTCTTTACAGTTCAGCTGATTAAAGGAAAAAAGAGAGAGAGAGACTGAACATTCATGCAAGTAGGCCATAACCCCAGCCTCCCGTTTCATATTTTTTACTTCACAGTCTTCCTGTAAGGACTTAAAAAGACTTTTCTCCGGAACTCAGGTGAGTCCTAGGTCCTAGATTTGAAGAAAACTATTTTTAGAAAGGAAGGTGAGAAATGACTTGTCTTTGTCCTTCTCTATCAATGTGGGATTTCAAGGTTTGAGTCAAACTCTTAAGTCTCAGTGTTGTACCTACTCATCACTAGGTTATTGATTAATTGCTTTATAACATTTCTTCTCCAGCTGGTAGTCCAGAATTTCATGAACACTTTAAGTGAAAGAAAGCTGTACCTTCTGAGACTATACAGTTGGACATGAATAAAGCCTAATTGCTGAAATATTGTGTGGCTGGCCAAAATGTGCCTTTAAAATTGTGACCTGGTGATCCTTAGAACTAAGCAAATCTAATTCTTTTCTATCAAACTACTTTCTTTCCCTTCTTTCTCCACACCCTTCCTACTTTAAAGAAAACTTCCAGATTCAACAAGCTATTTTTCTTCAGTGTTTATTATGTGGTGTATGTTTGATTTCTCTTGCTCAGCCTTGGTTGTTTCCTTCTAGATGAGAGGTGTTGTGTTTTCCTTGTATGGTAGCCAGAACTGGTTGATATTTTTGCAAAGGGGAACAGTGCTTCCTCCTTTGTCCCAGAACCTATTACTGTCATGGAAACCCATGTCAGATTTGTTAGTTTTATGTGGAGCTACTGAGTTACTGTTAACCTCCTCTGCTTTTTTCTTTCCTTTGTGTTTTGTTTGCTTTTAACACTTAAGGGGGTAGGGAACTGTTGCCATGTGAAATCCTGAAGTTATCAGGTTCCTGAAGATCCTGGGAATGGACTTTATTAACAAGTTGATGACAGTATTATCTAACTAAAGGCCTATTTTTAAGAAACCACAGTGATAAGAAGTAATCTTTTGACATAGTTTGAATGCTACCTTGCCATCCTCCATATTGTCTCATTACTAATTCCTTGCCTGAGCTTTTCGTTAGAACATAATGGAGAGAACTTGGCCTGCTAGTTAAGGGTTTTAGAGATCAGACCTACTTTGGATAGTAATAAGTCAAGTGACATTGAACACAAATGGCCCTTACTTTCTCTTTTTCACTTACAGAAGGTTTTTGTTATTAAAGAAATAAAATTTTGCTATAAAATGTTTTACAGTTTTTAATTAAGAAAATGTGATATTAAATTGTTGCTTGAATTCTTAATTTTAATCTTATTTGGGGGCAAAATAATTTAAACCCAGGTAGTAAATGTCCTTAACTTTGATGGAAATCTGTATTTGTCTTGTCAAGAATACAGTTTTCATCACAGTGTGCTATATTTATAGCTTTAAAAATATGTTTTAGAGAGAAAAGTTGGGCTCCTTGAAGCCTGGACTGTATAGAGATTTAAATGTGTGGTTCTTTCTCATTAAATACTCTAAACCAGGAAGAATTTGTTAAACTTTGGTTATTTGAGCCAGCTAGCAATGGACAGTGTTACTAATTAGGAAGCAGTAGTTTATAAGAGGTTATCAAACAGTGAAAGTGTTCCTCAAACTTCTAGATGGTAGAATGTTAGTGTTATATAACAAAGTTTCCAAAATATATAAGGTATGTGTCTCTTATTGGAATAGAGTAGTAGGACTTCTGTTGGTATATTTTAATACAGTAATATTAGAGACTGGGCTGTATTAATATTTCATATACAGCTTCACTTTGCTGCACTAATTTATTGTTACATGTATATAGCCCATCTCACGGATAATGTGAGAGTCCTTGTAAAAATAATGGTAGTTTCGCAGTGTTCACAGGATTGCTGGTGGCACTTAACAGTTTGGGCCACATTTCAATATAGCGCTAAATGTACCAGAAAGGATTTCTAGGTTTTATGACTTTAAATTATTACATCCATTTGTTCAACAAATGTTTATTGATCACATGCTATGTGCCAGTCATTGTTCTAGGTGCTATCAAAGACAGCAGTGAACAAACAATACATCTCTGTTCTCATGAAGATCACATTTGAGTGAAGAGAGACATACTATCAGAAAATAAAATATGTCAGGTGAGGATAAGTGTTACAGAGGTTAATAAAACAGGGGAAAGGGCAGAAAAAGATGCAAAGGGAAGGGTGCTGGAATTCCTTTAAGGTGGTTGGGGAACACAGTGAGCAGAGACCAGAAGGCAGTAAGGGCAGCTGAGCCAAGCCAGTGATAAAAACAATCCAAAGGTGTGGAAATGAGTCTGTTTGGAATTTGCAAGAATAGCATGGTACTGCTGGTCACCTAAGGAAAGTGAGTGAGGGGGAGGAAAGCGGTTGGAGACTCAAGTGTTGATGTGATGGGGACAGCAGGAAAGCTTGGATAACATGGTGGTTCTGTTCTGTGGCCATGATACAGCATATCTGTCATCTGATTTAAGAGTGGATAGTAGGTATATCCTATATTATATGTCTATATGAGTGAGTATATACCATCTGCTTCTGGGATAATTCACTCAGGATGATCTTTTCCAGATCCCACCATTTACCTCCAAATTTCATGATTTCCTTGTTTTTTATTGCTGAGTAATATTCCATTGTGTAGATGTACCACAATTTCTGTATCCATTCCTCCACTGAGGGGCATCTAGGCTGTTTCCAACTTCTGGCTGTTACAAATAAGGCTGCTACGAACATGGTTGAGCAAATGTCCTTACTGTGTACTTGAGCCTCTTTTGAGTATATGCCTAGGAGTGGTATAGCTGGATCTTGAGGAAGCACTATTCCTAGTTGTCTGAGGAAGCGCCAGATTGCTTTCCAGAGTGGTTGTATCGTACACCTAAAGAAACTAATCAAGAGGGAGGACTCTTGCTAAAATGCTCAATCCCTATTTAGAAAGGCAGAGGATGGACATCAAAAGAAGGAGAAAAGAGGGAACAAGTCAGGAGCCTGACACAGAGGACCTCTGAAAGGCTCTGCCCTACAGACCATCAATGCAGATGCTGAGACTTATGGGCAACCTTTGGGCAGAGTGCGGGGAATCTTATGAAAGAAGTGGGAAAACAGTAAGATCTAGAAAGGACAGGAACTCCATAGGGAGAGCAACAGAACCAAAAAATCTGAGCACAAGGGTCTTTCCTTAGACTGATACTCCAACCAAGGACCAGGCTTAGAGATAACCTAAGACCCCTGCACAGATGTAGCCCATGGGAGCTCAGTGTCCAAGTGGGTTCCATTGTAGTAGGAACAGGGACTGTTTCTGACATGAACTGATTGGCCTGCTCTTTAATTACCTACCCCTGAGGGGGAAGCAGCATTACCAGGCCACAGAAGAAGACACCGAAGCCACTCCTGATGAAACTTAATTGACTAGGATCAGAAGGAAGGAAAAGAAGACCTCCTCTATCAGTGGACTTGGGGAGGGGCATGCATGCAGAGGGTGGAGGAAGGGAGAGATTGGGACAGAGGAGGGAGGGAACTACAGGGGGGAAACAAAGTGAATAAAGTGTAATTAATAAAGAACTAAGAAAAAAAAGGAATGGATAGTAGGTGTGGGGGATGTTTGGGTTTTGTTAGCCCAAGACAAGTATCCCAAAGTTTCTGATCTTCTTGGTGATGGCAAGCAAGGACTTTGAATGGATATTTTGTGTAATAGAAATCCATTTGTACCATCATTTTTTGGGGAAAATGTTTTTGCCACAAATGAAAGAATAATTAATTTTTAAGAAGAACCTTAAGCAGTAGAGAGAAATTTGAGAATGCTTTCTTAACTTTTTTTTTCGAACAGTGAAAAGTTTAAAACCCATCTTTAAAAACTTGCCTGTACACTTTAAAGCCTTAGTTTTCTCAGTTGTTTCAGAAGTCTCGGTCTCAGTAGTTGCTGAACTTTGCTGCTAACTATAAAGTTAGCCGGGCATGTGACCACACCTATAACACTGACACTGGGGAGGAAGAGACAGGAGGATGGATCTCTGAGTTCAAGCCTGGCCTAGTCTACAAACAAGTTTCAGGCCACCCAGAGTTGTATATTGTAAAAAAAAAAAAAAAAAAAGCCGTAGCTTCTTGCTAGACTACAATACAGTAACCAGTTTAGATCCAGAGATCAAATACACTGGCTAAATCTTGACAGCTTACCTCACTGATAGATGGACGTGAAAAAAAATTATAAACACAGCTAAAAGGCACTTCCTTTTGTTAATCTTTGCATTTAGAGTTCTCTTTTAAACTGGTAGGTATCCAGTCACATTTTCAAAAACTTAAGCCTAGGTGGACAGAGTAAGTGTTACTGCATAGGCAGCCCTCTCAGGCTCTGCCTCGGCCCTTGGGTTGAAAAGGCACGCAGCTCCATGCACGACTTGTATCACTGCTGAAAGATGTTACTGCTCTTTTTGTTTGTGTTTTGTTATTTTTGTTTTTGTTTTTCAAAACAGGATTTTTTTTCTATGTAGCCTCAGGTTTCCCAGAACTAGCTCTGTAGACCAGGCTGACCTACGTCTGCCTCCTGAGTGCTGGAGGCGATTACGGCCTGCCTGTTAGTGATCTTGTAATGAAGCACATTTAAGGACATTGTTCTTACTGTTAGTGAAAAACTTAAGGGGGCATAGGAGAAGAAGAGGGAGAGTGGATGGGACTGGGAGTTAATGAGGGAGGGGGCTATAGCCCAGATACAAAGTGAATAAATTGTAATAAATAGATAGATAGATAGATAGATAGATAGATAGATAGATAGATAGATAGATAGATAAATAAATAAAATATTTTTAAAGAAAAACTTAATTCTACTTGAATAAATTAAATTATTTAATATTTAGCCTATTCTAAGATTTATCTTTAGAAATAACATTTAAATTTTACAAATTAATATATATGCCCGTGTGAGATTTTTCTTATTTGTTTGCATGTATGCCTGTACATGTGCATGCTTGGTACCTGTGGATGTCAGAAGAGGGTATTCTGATACTGGAGTTAGAGAGAGGTACCATTGAGTGAAAAACTATCTAAACCAGGAGTCTTAACCCCAGCCAAGCAAAACACTTAAGTTTGGAAAGGACTATATAGTTTGTATATATAGTTCTTTTGAAATTTCAGAATATAAAAATAAAGAATCGCTTGGGTTTTTGAAAATGTCCAGACTGTTACAAACATCCAAAGGGAAAAAGATCTGCTTAAGGAAATTGGGGAGGCAGACTTTAAGGGATATAGCAGGAGGTATGGAGACAGGAGGGAGGAGTTCTTTTACTGGAATGTGATAATTATGGAACCTGTATTTGGGTTTTAATTTTTATATGGTCACTTTTAATTTGTTATATATTTTTGAGTAGTTATAAAATTAAATTTTGATAATTTTATTAATGTAAAAAAGCATGGATCCTGTGTGAGTCTTTTTAAGATTTCATTTTTCAAGAAAAGCTTGTTTCACAGCAACATTGAGAGTTTCAGAGTTTTCCCTATATTCCTAGCCCCCACGTGCCTAGCTTTCTCCATGTCAACACCCCTACAACCCAGATTGCTACATTTGTTAGAACTGCTGTATCAGAATCATCTAAGCCCGAGTATAAAAATGATACACAGCTTCTTGGTGTTGGTATGTTTCATGGCCTTGTGGTTTGGGTTTTTCTCATTTTAGTTAATCCTTCCTGTCTGAATAGACAAAATCTTTTAGGTTGGAGAAGGTCAACAAAATCTGCTGAATTGATGAAAAAGCTGCAACTAAAAAAGCAGTATTACATTTCAAAACCAGTCTGTACTTAGTTTATTTATATATTTTGATTTTTTGTTGTTGAATCATATAGTCCAGGTTGGCTTTGGACCTACCAAGTGGAATAGATGACCTTGAACTATTGATTCTCCTGTCTCCACCTCCCCAGTGCTAGGTTTAGAGGCATAAGCCACCATACCTACTTTCATATGATGTTGGAGCTCAAACCCAGGATTTTTTTCATGCTAAGCAAACACTCTGCCAACTGAGCTACCCATATACCTAAGCCCAGTATATGGGTAACTCATAGAGCTTGTTTTATTGAGTTTCAGCATGAATGAGATATTCTTGTGTCAGTGTGTGTCCTTAAGATTTTGTTAAGAGTAAGGCATGGTAGTATATATCTATAACTCCAGCACTCGGAAGCAGGACTGGAAGTTCTGTCTGAGGCCGTCCTTGGTGTCCAGGAAAGACCATCTGTCACCCTTTTCCCTCCAGGGCAAAATAACAAGACAGTTGTAACAATAAGGCATATTATATGTTAAGAGTCAAATCAAGGTAGAAAGAAAGCAAAGGAGAACTAAGATTAGCAAAAGTAAGTATACTTGTCATAGTAGTGCCAACTATGAATTTATTTATTGGCTAGTGACTTTCTCTTGTTCTTTTCAATTCCCCCCACCCCCTTTTGATCTTCTATTTATCAGTGAGAAAATTTGTGTAGAAACACTTGCGGGCTGGTTATAACAGCTAAAGCATTTCTTATTTCTCTCTGAAGTGAGTGATGCATCATGCAGCACTGTCGAAGGCATGAGTGTCCACCCTGGAGCCCCTGAGCTTAGACTGCATGTGGAATTCTTTTGGAATTTCTCGTTTGTCTGAATATAGTTTTCTGTATTGCTGTTGTTGACTATTTTGAAGTGGTGCTAACCCACACATGACTTCTTATCCACTACTAATGTGGCAGCATCATGTGCACCTCGTGGAGGAAAAGCATATGAGGCTCCTGTAGTGTAGACTAGAAAAACTTGGTAGATATCAATTTTGCAGACTTTTGAGTCTGGAGTGATCTGACGTACTGCGAGCTTGTTGCTGTTGACAGCACTGACACTGGGACTACCAGAATGTTAATGCTGGTGAAGTCGAAAGTGGAAGTGCTATGAGCAGGGACCACACTCCTAGCTTTGTGGCTGCAGTGAGTTGCCTGCCCTGCTGTGCCTCAGTTCTTTTATCTTCTTCAGTGAACACAAGATCAGGACTCATTTGGTACCTGATGTTTACTCTATGAAATAGTGGAGTACATGGATGTGTTAGTAAGACGTCTGGCACATAATGTTATTAGTAAATTCTAGTTTCTGCTAGCCCACACAGTCTTCATCCAGCACCCTCATTTTTCAGTCTAAGGGCCCTAAACAGAAATGTGTAACTCATTACCTTGAAGTATTACTGAAAAATAATTGTAAATGCCAACTTTCAAGCATGTTTCTGTGTAGTAGAGGATGTTTACTGACTTGGAGGAAACAGCAGTATCTTTGTTAGTGTTACTGTTGCTGTGGAATCACCATGACCAAAGCAACTTGGAGGAAAAGGTTTATTTGACTTATACTTTCACGTCACTGTGCATCATCAAAAGGGTTTTATTGGTGCTTTTGTCTCCATTAAAAACAGAAGTGTGTATAAGATTATATATACATTTTTTGTATTTAGACTAAAATATTTTATGAGAACTAAATTTGATAATCAAGATAAAGTTATTCTTTGTTTTCAGATTTCAACTATTGCAGAAAGTGAAGATTCACAGGAGTCTGTGGATAGTGTAACCGATTCCCAAAAACGAAGGGAAATTCTTTCAAGGAGGCCTTCCTACAGGTATGTAATTTAAAAGTTAGAGTCTGGGACATGCAGGAAGGTTAGTGCTTGCCAGATAAAGATGTCAGAACAGCAATAGAGCTGCTTCAGAAAGTACCTGTATTGAGTATTTCTCTTGAGTTACTTGTCAGATAAGCTGGCGTTTACAATACAATTAGGACTAGTTACTCTAAACAGTAGTTCTCTGCTTGGGGTTCCAATTACCAAAGACCATTGGAGAAACAGATATCGGCATTATGATTCATAACAGTAGCAAAAGTACAGTTATGAAGTAGCAATGAGATAATTTTATAATTGAGGGTCAGCACAACATGAGGAACTGTATTAAAGAGTCACAGCATTAGGAAGGCTGACAAGCACTGCTTTAACAGTCTGGGAAAACATGTCCCCCGGCTTCTGTTTTTGTAGCTGTGCAGGCTGCTGCTTTTCCTTTAGAAAGTTTGGGATACGTTTGAGTTATAGTATTGCTCTGGGGTACACTATCTACTCAGCTGCACATTTACAGGTAATGCCATGGTCCTTTACAATCACCTGTATTTAATAGTTTTCAGGGCAGTACTTTGCTAGCATCCTCTTGTCTGAGTTTAGGTGTGATGTATCTACCTAGTCTATGTCTCAAAGGACAGTCCGAACCACTTAGTACATGTATCAGTTAGTTCCATGTATGTTATTGTTTCTGGATAAACTTCGTGAACTTAACTTTAGAATTCGGTAAACTTCAGAATTTTTGTAAGCCTCTCCTGTTCTTTATTATTTATTTTATATTTTATGTGTATGGGTGTTTTACACTGCATGTGTCTATACATACGTACATGGTGCCAACAGAGGTCAGAAGAGGATGTTGGATGCCCTGGAGCTGGAATTTCACATGGTTGTGAATCATTCTGTGGATGCTGGCAATCAAAACAGGTCTTAGAGCAAAGCGGCTAGTGCTCCTAACTGCTGAGCCAGAGAAGGAGCAAGACCAGCCTTGCTCTTTTTTTAAAGGGTAGTTGATGCCTTTCCTTCCTCGGTGTATTTATAGTTACTACTAAGCTCTTTTACTATCCTTACCCAATTACTAATTCTAAGTATTATTAGTGAATTAATTTTATGGTCTTAAGTTTCATTGTGAGATAAACATTATAGGCATTTATATGTATAATCTTTACTGTTTACTTTATTTTGCGTGTGTTTGAATATGTTTCTGTGCACAAGTGCATGAAGGACTGCAGAGGCTAGAAAAGGGTATTACATCCTCCGGGACTCGAGTTCCTGTGTGAGCTGCCATTGGTGCTTGGAATTGAAGCCAGTAACTGCTGAGCCATCTCTCTAGCCCTTCTCTTTTGTTTTAAATATAGCAAGTGTTAGATTTTGAGACATTGAAGTATATCTTGTTAGTAAATAACACCTTTGACCCTGAAGCAAATCCAATAAAGTATTAAATAAGTCACATGACGTCTCCTAAACGCTGCACAAATCATAGTTTCAAGTCAGCCAGATGGCTCTAGCACATAAACATACTTGCTCAAGGTTGATGACCTAAGTTTCATCATGTACATGTGGAAGAAAAGAACCGACTTCTCGAAGTTGTCCTATGACCTCCACACACGTCTCCTACCACATTCATACTTCAAAACAAAAACCACAAGATACCAGCTTTATATTAGAGACAATATTTGCCTGTGGGTTTTTTTTTTTCTGGCCAAAATTCTAACAGATGTTATTTAAATAAACAGTGCTTTACAAGCAAATGAAAGCTCTAGGGATAAGCCATATAGAGAGTTATAAAGGATAATATTCTCTTACCTTATAATCAGGTTCTCACACTTGGGTACTGTTTATATGAAGTTTATGGATTCATGAATTATAGCCTTTATATCTATATTATAACAACATACTTAACAGAGGCTTACAACATGCTTGGAAGGTTGAAAAAATGAAATTGATAATCTAAAATAAGTTTTTATTGGAACAGCCCATCTTTATAAAGCGGTTAATTTGTTTGTGGCAGGAAGCTGCTCTGTTTGGTTTCATTTTGCTTGATATTTTCGTCAGTAATTGATCTGAAGAAGAAAAAAAAAAACAGAAGCCATGTATATTGATTTGCCAATGATAGAACCATAAGGGTTAATAAGTGTCCTGGTACTAGAAAAATGAGTATCTTGAAAGATCATAGCAGGCAAAGGAAGTGGGCTGAAACAAATAGGGTGATACTATATTGATAATTGTAAAGTCTCCAAAACTGTTTATAAAATAAACCAGTTATTCAAACATTTGATTCTGGATTAAGAATTTATTTCAAAAACATTATCTTTTCAACCAATATGGTCGAGAGTAAACAGAACTAGAATGTGGGTAGTGTCTGTGTGTTTGGATTCTCATACAAAGGGGAGCTGGATTAGATTGTGAGACTAAATTGGTAATGTTTAAACTTCAACCATAATTCTTATTAAGGAATATATCTTGGTGTTACAGTTTTTTATAGTTATCTAAAGAATACATATTTAGGGCCAGGCATGTAGTGTAATCCCAGCACTGGAGAGGGTGAGGCTATGACTTTGCCAACCTGAGATTCAAACTAAGACACTATCTTAAAAACCAAATAATCTGGGAGGTGGTGGTACATGTCTTTCATCCCAGCTTGAGAGGTAGAGGCAGGCAGATCTCTGAGTTCCAGGCCAGTCTGCTCTACGGGTTGAGTTCCAGAATAGCCAGGGCTACATAGAGAAACCCTGTCTTGGGGGATGGATGGGGGGATGGATGGATGGATGGATGGATGAATGAGTGTGTATGTGTGTATACACACACATATATATGGCTTGTGGAGGCTGGAGAGAGAGATGGCTCAGAGGGTTAAGAGCACTGGCTCCTCTTCCAAAGGATCTGGCTTCAATCCCCAGGTCACTTAGAGTGGCTCACAACTATGTGTAACTGTAGTTGTAGGGTATGCAGTGGCCTCTTCTGGCGTATACAGGCATCAGGTATAGGTATAGGTAGATAAAATACACAGAGAGAGGGAGGGAGGGACTATAAAGTAAATAAATAGTGTAGTTTTTTTTATTACATCCTTCCCCCCTCCCCCCCCGTCAACAACAACACCTAATTGAACTTTATTTGTGTTTTTCATGTGTTTAAACTTTTGTCCTATACATTCGCAGTTTTCTAATCTCTACTTATACTTAGTGTTGTTTTGTTTTTGTTTTTGTTTTTAATTAAAATGGCTTCTTATTTTTCTAGGAAAATTTTGAATGACTTATCTTCTGATGCACCAGGAGTGCCAAGGATTGAAGAAGAAAAGTCGGAAGAGGAAACTTCGGCCCCTGCCATCACCACTGTAACGGTGCCAACCCCAATTTACCAAACTAGCAGTGGGCAGTATAGTGAGTAACAAGTTTTTCTGTTACGAAAAGTGAGAAGGAAAATGGTTAGATTCTCCTTAAGGAAATGATAAATGCCAAGGCTTTAGCTGCCGTTATTGTTTGCCCTACTGTCAGAAATCTGTAACAGAAAGGCTTTCCTTTCTTTGTTAGGGGTATGTGAGTGTGTAAGTCAGTTGCATTTTCTTCAGTTTAGTGTAGGTGCATGAAGAAGTCAAGAAGGTTTTGAGGGACTAAATGTTTAGATTTTAGTTTTCATAATGTTACGAGAAGATGTTAGTTTTTGATGTTGTGTTTTCAGGTAAGGAAAACATTGTGACTAAGGCCAAAAATAGTTCCAACAATTTAACTATTTTTACTTAATCTTATTACCTTCTAAAAATATTATTTAAAAATCTTTGTGCTTGGGCTGGAGAGTTAGCTCAGTGATAAGAGCACTGGCTGCTCTTCCAAAGGACCTGCGTTCAATTCCCAGCACCCACATGGCAGCTCACAGTTGTCTGTGACTAGTTCCAGGGGATCTGACAGCCTCACCTAGACATACATGCAGGCAAAAAAACAAACAAACAAACAAAGGAAAAAAAAAAAAAAAACAATGTACATGAAAGGAAAAGAAATCATTGAGAGAGGAAAAAACAAAAACAAAACTCTGTGCTTAGTGTTTCAGGTAAGAGTAGTTTGGTTATAGTCTACCAGTGTATTCCATTATTGCTCGTTTTTATATAAAAGGTATATAGTGACTTATGATATTAACATAACTGGTAAAACTGACAGTCACTGTCAGTTCTTCAGTTTTAGAAAAAATCTGTGTGCCAGCATGGAAGAACATGCCTATAATCCCAGCACTCAAAGAGGTAAAGCCTGACAGTCTCTTGAGTTTGAAGCCAGTTTGATCTGCATACTATGCTACACAGATACAGACCTTCCCCCCCCCCAAAAAAAAAAAAAGATAATAGAAAAAAATGACTGTGTGTATTAGTGTTTTGCCTACATGTATGTATGTGTATCGTGTGTGTACTTAGTGTCTACAGAGGTCAGAAGATGAGGTGCGAGTCCCCTAAAATTAGAATTATGGATAGTTGTAAGCCACCATGTGGTCCTGAGAATGTACCCAGGTCCTTTGCAAGGACAACGAGTACTCCTAGCTGGTGAACCATCTATCCAGCCCTGCCTTGCTTTTTTGAAAGTAAAGGCCTCTTTTCACAACCATTACAGTCCTTATTTCATATCTGTCCTGCCGTTGATTCTGTCTTACCTCTTCCTCTTTTGGTTCTTTTACCTGAATCAACTAGTTAGTACTTTTAAATTGATAAAAGGTATTTGAGGAAATGTAACTTTCTTTTTTCTATTACTCTATCTTTGCCTTCCAACCTGTCTCTTATATGATTCACGCACAAATTTCTAGATTTTTAATTTCAGCATAAAGTTGGTTTGTCTGCTTGTAATTTTCATTCCAGCTGTATTTAAAATAGATTCCTAAAGCAAAATTTTTAGCTTTCCCAACACTGAAACTTTTGATATTGTAAGGGAGGGCATTTTAAAAGATATATTATTTTTATTTGCGTGTGTGTGTGTACATGAATTTATATGCATCACTTGTGTGCAGCTGCTCTGAGAAGCCTTTGGATCAGGTCCTTTGGAAATAGAGTGACAGATACTTGTGAGCCACCTATATGGGTGCTGGGAACCAAGCCTGAGTCCTCTACAGGAGGATTAAGTGTTCTTAGATACTAAGTCATCTGTCTCACCCTTAGGGATGGCATTTCTGATAAAGTATTGTCTATGATAACTGAGCTAAGTAAGCTTAGATAATTTTTTTTCCTTCTTAAATTGTTGGTGACTGTAAAAGGCACATCTCCCTGCCATATCTGTGTATGTGTTTACTTTAATATAATTTCATATCCAGATAATTATAATTACTCAAGATGGTTCTTTTCTGACATTGTACAAGATTTCTTTCTCCTCCATCCCGAGGGGAATAACATTCTGTCAGGAATAGATTTTCTACTGCCGAAAGTCTCATTTGAACGAGAAAGAATGATTTTTAGAAGAGACATACAGAAGCTGAAAGGAAGAAGTACTGGATTAGCTATCAATGCCCTTAGATACTTTATTTTTCAAACACCTCTAGCAACTGAATAATAATAGTTACATATACTATATTAGTACTTTGAGATTTTTTTTAAGCTTTATTCATTTTTATCTACTATTGTCTTTACATGCATAAGTGCCTTTGATGAAACTGATTGAGTATTATGTTCCTTTTTATTAAACTAACAGCTCTTTAAAAAATTTTCTTTTTTTTTTTTTTTAATGTGTTCTGTCTGCATATAAACCTGCATGCCAGAAGAGGGTGTCAGACCCCAGTATAGATGGTTGTGAGCCACCATGTGGTTGCCCAGAATTGAACTCAGGACCTCCGGAAGAGTAGACAGTGTTCTTAACCACTGAGCTTCTCTGCAGCTCTTAATATTATGTTCTTGATTTTTTTTTTCCACTAAGAAACAATATAATGAATACTCACATGTATTTTCTTATTTATTTTTAATTTTTATTTTATATGTATGTGTACTTTGCCTGCATGTATGTCAATTCCACATGTATGTGTGGCCTATAGGGGCCAGGAGAGGGTATTGGATCCCCTGGAACTGAAGTTAGGGTTGTTAATCACCATGTGGGTGCTGGGAATTGAATTCAGGTCTTTTGGAAGAGTACTCAGTGCTCTTAACCGCTAAGTCATCTCTACGGTCCTGTGTTTTATAACTTGTAAAATTAACATGGTTATCAAAATTTAACGGTTAGAGGTTTTATATCTATAAACTGTAAACTTCTTTCTTATCCTTTCCCAGTAGGAAGGATTATATAAATCCCTTTCTTCTTTTTCATTCTAGTTTTTCTATAAGTCCTATACATATTGTACAGAATTTCAGCAGTCACTTTAATTCTATCTATATTATTTATTTAGGTTAAAATACAACATAATTATATTTCCTTAGTTTGTATTTCTTGGTAGTAATTATACCTAGAGATACAAGTTACAGTTATCTTTCTCTTTTCATTTTAATGAATTTGGTTTTGTCAAAACTATCTTCACTTGGCTGGGTGTGGTGGTGCACACCTGTAATTACAGCTCAGGGAGGTAGAGGTGGGTGGATCTCTGTGAGTTTGAGGCCAGCCTGATCTACAAAGTGAGTCCAGGACAAACAAGGCTACACAGAGAAATCCTGTCTCAAAAAACCAAATAAATAAATAATTTAAAAAAAGAAAGAAAGAAGACTGTCATACAGTTTTAAAATAATCAAGTGTACAGGTAAATATACGTTAAAAACATGGTTAAGTCTTAGATGAGACATTTTCAAGAAAAAAATATATATATATGACCTTATTTAATGTTTACAACAACTACACATCTGTTATCTAAGAACAGATGTTTTTGGATTTCCATGAAAAATAACAAAAGCAAGTTCTTGCTTAATGGACTATCCTATATCTTTTCATATCTAGTTTCTTCCTTCCCTTTACTTTGAGCTCATTGCTGTATAACCAAGAAAAAATTGGTGTTAAATACATTTGAATTTGCAAATTAGTTCTATATGAGAAATGAAGATTTGATTTTGTTAGCCTTCTGATTCTTTCAAGCAGTTCATGTATTTTTATGTGTATGGATTATTTTTTATTTATTTATTTATTATTATTATTATTATCATTTTTCTATTTACTTACTTACTTACTTACTTACTTACTTACTTACTTACTTACTTACTTACTTACTTACTTACTTACTTATTTTGTGCACCAGATGTGTGCAGTGCCTGCAGAGGCCAAAAGAGGGTGTCCAGTTCCCTAACACTGGTTGCAAATGGCTATGAGACTCCTTGTAGGCTGGGAGTAGAAACCAGGTCCTCTGAAAGAGCAGCCAGTGCTTTTAACTGTTGGACCATCTCTCCCTATCCTTTCAAGTAATCTTACAAAATTAATTGTAGAATAATCCTTAGACTTTTTTTTCACATATAAGATAGTAAAACCTGGGATTAGCTAACACAGGAGGATTGTATATGCTAGTATGTTAATTTCCACAAATTTATCATCTTGATAAAATGACCAAATAATAACCATTAACTTAGATCTCTTGATTGAGCAGTGATTTATGAGTTTTCTATGTACATATCACCCAGACTGCTATAATTTCCCAGAGCTTACTGCTAATCAATCCCACACTAATTCACTTCTGATAAACAGTAACCTCCTTAAGTTCGATACATTGATTCCTTTTTTTTTTTTTTTTTTTTTTTTTTTTTTTTTTTTTTTTTTTTTTTTACTTTCCTTTTATTACAATTACAATCCATTATGGAGACCTAGGAACATAAGTCAATTGGTAGAGTGCATTCCTACCCTGCTTGAAAGTTTGATCTCCAGCTCTAATGCGGTCACACACACACATTATGAAATTGCTTAGCTAAAATTATAATTTTTAGTCTTTTTTGGAAAACTTGATCCTTGGAAGATTTGTCTGAGAAGGATTCAATCATAATTTTCAATTCTGGTGTCTAAAAGATTATGTCTTCCAAGCAAGGTAATAACTTATTTTCAGTTAACTTTTTCTATGTGCTGTTGTATAAAGGTGATTTAGGGTTTTTTAAGAATGAAATGTCTATTAAGTATGTATTAATTTTTCACTTGCTAGAGAGTGGCAAGTGTGCTTAATCATGAAATAATCAGTGGAAGACTGAGGACTCAAAGATGGAGCTTAGAACTAGTGAGAAACTATCTCAGTAATGATCTTGGGCTTAATAATTTTAAACTTCATGAGACACTCATAATAACTAAGATCCAGGAAATTTCACATCTTTAATTAATGAAGTTATGTGGGGATGATAGGCTGTAGGTGCTGGAGACTGAACCCAAAGCCTTGAACATTTATATCAAGCTCTGTATTACTGATTTCTTCTTTAAAAATATGATTTACTTTGTTGTTTATTTTGAGATGGGATCTTGCTATTTTTCCTAGTCTAGTCTCAAACTCCTACGCTAAAGTGATTTTTCTGCTTTAGCCCCTTGAAAAGTGTCCTGCCACTCACATGGCTGTTTAAGTTCACTACTGACAGAGTTAATAAATTGCAATTCACTGACAAATGGCTCTATTAATTATACACACATTTATTGGGTGCTCCTTATGTTAACTAATTTCCTACCTAGAAGAAATGTGTTTACAGTTAAGGCAACAGATATTAAACAGTATATGAGGCAGTAATGGGGCTGTAAAGGAAAGTATTGTTGTGAAGTAGGACCTCCTTAGAGTTTAAGTAAGTTCAAAAAGAATTTGAATTTTTCACTTACTTTTTATATTGTTATTACACATTATTTATTATAGTATAGTTTGTAGAGTACACTTCTTGTACTTGTAGAAATTATAGAAATTGGATATGGTTTCCTGAGTACACATTTACTTGAATATACCAAGTCTTTCTTGGTGATGTTATTTTCTAGAATAATTTCTCGTAGGTTATGCTTTGCTAATTGCATGGGTTTAGTGTGTTTTAAAAGTCTTATGTGGTTTTAATTAAACTTGTAACAATAAAATTCATTGGGTTTTAGTTGCCATTACCCAGGGAGGAGCAATACAGCTGGCTAACAATGGTACCGATGGGGTACAGGGCCTGCAGACATTAACCATGACCAATGCAGCTGCCACTCAGCCGGGTACTACTATTCTACAATATGCACAGACCACTGATGGACAGCAGATTCTAGTGCCCAGCAACCAAGTTGTTGTTCAAGGTAATAGAATTAAGAATTCATACGTATGGTACATTATTTTTAAAGTTAATGTATATTCTCATGAAAAGTAAGTATATTGCAAAGCAATAGTTATTTTTCAGCATAGATTTAGATATTAAAGATTTAGATATGTAATTAATACATAAATAAGTATTTCTTAGGAAATTTTCCGTTCCACTTGGACAAAAATGTCATGGCATAAAACAACTCTTTCAACTTTAAAAGGGTAATACCTATCTTGAATACCTTCAGGAGTCAGGAATAGAAGAAACAGGATAAAGTAGAAGAAAAACTAAGGAAATCATAGCTAGGCTACGTGGCCTCCAGTAGCACCCATCTACTATGGGCCTTCCCCAACACACACACACACACACACACACACCTCATGGGTGCTAAGTCACTAGTAAAGAGTTTTTAGTGGATTCTGCTGTTTTGTTTTGTTTTAATTTTTATTTAAAAGAAACTTACATCTTTTTTTCTGAATTCATCAATTTTGATTTCAGAAAAAACATTCCAAAAGAACATTTGTCATGTAAATCATCTGCTTGTTGAAGAACAAATTGTCCTTAAGTCCTCAGTGGACTAAAGGATTTTTGTTTTTCCCTTCATTTGAGCAGTCTGGAGAGTGTTAACTATTCTCCATTTGAACAGTTCATAGTTTATACCAAATTAAAAATTCATAGACCATAAAATAATAACATTTGCTTCTAAAAATATTTTTGTCAATAATAAATGTTGTCCGTGTTAATGACAGTTATATCCCTTCATTCGTGGATAATTACTTTTGTATGATACCAAAACACCAAGTAGGGAGTCTTTTATTTAACAATTCCTAATACATTTATACTATATATCTTGTTATTAGACCAATGATATTTGAAAAGATATTTTGCTTATTAGTGGGAGTAAAACACCTTTTCACTTTACATGCAGGTACTCAAAAAATTGTAAAGCAGGATGTCAGTGAATTTGAATTCTCAACGTCAGTTTGAATATGGTAACATGTTTAGTATATAAATCTTTGTTCCTCAAAACAATACAATTGGTATTTTTAACTGATAAGGATGATTTTACAAAGACCTTCAATGTCTTTCACATTGTGTTAGGTTACTTGTTAGGAAAGTATATCATCAAGCTGTTTTTAGAAGCAAATAAAATAGTTATTTTGTTTCTTTTTACATATGATAGATTGTATGGTTAGAAAAATTCAAAGCTGAGTGAGTTTATACACACCTTTAATCTTGGCACTTGGGAGGCAGAGGCAGGTGGACCTGTTGAGTTTTATGCCAACCTGGTCTACATAGAAAGTCTCAGGACAGCCAGGGCTACACAGTGAGATATTATCTCAGAAAACTAAAAAGAAACAAATTCAGCTTGAGTTTATTTATTTATTATCACTTACACTAAAATCAACGTTGATTTACATATACCATGATTAACATCAAATAGTCCACTTTTTCGTGCTTTGAGTTTTGTTTGAATTAGAAATTTATAATAGTTGACCATATGCTTATTTTCTCTTCCATTTTGCTATATTATGAAAAATCGTGGTCGTTTTTATGTCGTGGAAAGAGTTTACTTGAAATTTCTTAATGTGAATATATCCAAATCAAAGGAAGACACTGAGGATTATATCTAGGAAGATCATCTATGTTGGGCCCCACTTTCCTTTTAGACTTAAGGTTGGTAAGCTCGTAAACCACAGACGAGATCTCCATTCTAATACAACATAAATATAGGACACGGAGACATCCTTACCTGTACCTGTACTGATAGTACAGTAAATTGGGGTCTTCTTTTTAGCCAGAATCATGTTCCCTGCTTTCTTCTAATCTAGTTATGTTTAGATTGATTGACACACAGTTGAATTAAATTGTAGTATTTCTGTGTCTGATACCTTGTTCCCTCTTTTTTGCAGCCGCCTCTGGCGATGTACAGACATACCAGATCCGCACAGCGCCCACTAGCACCATTGCCCCAGGAGTTGTTATGGCGTCCTCCCCAGCACTTCCTACACAGCCTGCTGAAGAAGCAGCACGAAAGAGAGAGGTTCGTCTAATGAAGAACAGGTACAGATGCTCCAGATACTTAAATGCTGTGGGTCAGCTATGTCTGTAAATTCTGCTGTGTGCTACATCTACAGTAGATTCTTTGTGTTGATTTTCTTTTTCTGGTAGGATTAATAGATTTTGCTAAAGTTTTATTTATGAAGCTACATTTATAAGATGGCTAATGGGACTTTAGGTCAGACTTCAATCATAAAGTAATGTTTTTTAGTTTTTCCACAAGAGATTTAATACCTAGCTTTATTTAATTTGTACTTCATCCCAGCCAATTGGTAAGTTAATTAAAATTTTATTCATAAGTAATATTCATCAAAGTATCCTATTTGTGTACTGATATTAGTCTAGTTTATTTGCATTAAATTTTTTGTAATAAATATATGATAGCCATTTTTATTTTAATAAAGTCCTTTTTACATTTTATACACTTTTACTTTAAAGGTTTATTTATGTCTATTTTATGCATATGTGTGAATGCCTACCTGTATGTATGTGTACCCCATACATACTTGGTACCTACACAGGCCAGAAGAAGGCATTAGACCTCTTGGAACTAAAGTGACAAGTGGTGGTCAGCCTCCTCATATGGGTGCTTTGAGCTGAACCCAGCTTCTCTGCAAGAATAGAAGTGCTCCTGACTGCTGAACTCTGTAACTTCCTGTTCTGTGTTTTTGAATCAGAGTTACTATGTGGGCCGTGGTGGCCTGGAAGTCTTGATCCTCCTGCCTCAGTCTGTGAATGTCAGGATTACAAACCTGTACTACCATGCCTGACCTTAGGGGGCAGGTTCTTTCTTAGAATAATAATTTAACATCCAAACCCTCTTTTAAAATAGAGTGATTCAAAAATATATGGTATTCCTGACAAAGCCTTTATATACAGTTAGTGTTAGTCTTCAGCAATTAAAGAGTTACATAGGAGAATCTATAAAACATGGTTAAAGCTTTTCTTAGAAACTTATTTATTAATGTGCAAACGATTGAGGAAAACAAAATAAATGTTCTGGGGAGTTGGTGCATTGGTTAAAGTGCTCACCATGCAAGCAAGAGTGCTGGAGTGCAGATCCCCAGGACCCACAGAAAATGCTTGTTAGGCCCTGTAATTCCAGGCTGATGGCAGACATGGGGCTCTCAGGGCAAGCTGATAGGTAAACTGTTTCTGTAAGCTCTGGGTTTTAAGAAACCCTGTCTCAAGTGTAAGCTGGAAGCAACATTAAGGAAGATAGTCTCCACACACAAAAACCATGGAAAGAACATCGTGGGGTTGGGAGGTGGGTGAACAAAACACCAAAGAGAATCAAGGTGCGTATGTATAAAGATATAAACTATTTGAAATTGGTGAAATTCTTGTTATTACCCCAAGGATGATCAAGAACAATGATAAAGTAAATGAAACAGATACTGTACTTAGACGATCTGACTTCAAGTCCTGGATTCACCCTTTAGCTATTATTCTGGTAGAACTCATTAAGTTTCTAAACTTAATAAGTAGTTACGTCATAATAGAAATGTAAATATCTCTCTCTTAAGTGTATTTGAAAATATTAATTGAATTACGCATTGATCTGTTTAGTTTTAAAGTATTTGTTAAGAAGTGGTTGTCCTTTTCTAAAAAAGAAACAATTGTGTTTAAGAAGTAGGCTCAGGGGTTAAGAGCAATGGCTGCTCCTCCAGAGGTCATGAGTTCAATTCCCAGCAACCACATGGTAGCTCACAACCATCTATAGTGAGAGCTGGTACCTTCTTCTGGCCTGCAGGCATACATGCAGGCAGAAAACTGTATAAATAGTAAATAAATATTATACCAAAAAAAGTCACAAGTAAAGACCTAATTATAAAATGTAGGACAGTAGCATTAACTAACGAAAACAATTCTGAGTAGACAGCAATCAGAGTTTTATTATTAAAGGACTTTAGATTATGTGTGTGTGGTTTGGCTCTGTTGAATGAAGGTCCATACCCTTCCTGAGATAGACAGATAGAGAGGCTGTGAGGCCATGCTCAGGGGGAGGCAACACTGTCACTTCTTTACTCCTTCCCTTTTTTGCAGTACTGGGGATTGACCTGAGGACCATTTTCATGTTAGGCAGGCACCTTGCCACTGATTTATTATCCTACCCCAGCCCTTTTATAATCTTGAAAACTTTCAGAAAGGGTCTTGCTGTTACCAGGTTGACCTGAATTCACTCTGAAGCCTAGACAGGCTACTTTCAGTCTTCCTGTCTCAGCTTCTTGAGTAGCTGAGATTATAAGCCTGTGCCAGCCAACCCTGTAGCCTCATACTTTCTTTCCTGCTCAGGACATTGCCTACTTATAAATAGGTGATACATTACTGAAGGGCACAGATTCACTTTTTCTACATTTATTTTCTTTTTAGTTTTGTAATTTCTCTGTGTTAGTGTTCTAAAATCACTATGACAGAATACCCTAGACATCAATTTGAAGAAGAAAAGATTTGTTTTGACTCATTTTCATCAGCCCAAGGCTACTTGGCATCATTGTTTTGGTGAGGCAGAGCATCATTGTCAGGAACCTGCAGTGGAACAGAGTGGCCAGCTTTTAGCAGACCAGAGGCAGAGAAAGAGAGAAGTGTCTGGAAACTTGTGGTGGATCTTACACGGTAGAAAGAGAATGGACTCCCAAAAGTTGTCCTCTGTTCTTCTGTGTGCTGCAGCATACGTAGGTCTCCAGTCACCTCCCCTGCACACATAAAAAATAAACAAGCAATGTAAAAAGGTGATAGTGTAGGAAGTGATAGAAAACGACACTCATTGACCTCTGGTTTCTACAAGCAGATGTCCCTGCACAGAATGTGCACATGTGAGCATTACACATGCTCTTACCACACCCTGAAATGGATGAGTGAATATAAGTTGTTTTAAGGGATTGGAAATTATTGCACAGCCTCCAAGGGCACACATTAAATACCCATTTCCCTTTAGCTAAGTTTCACCTCCCAAGTTTTTCCATACCTTCCTAGGAATTGAGGTCAAGACCCTCATAACTGAGTAACTTCTCAGAACATGGCTTTATTAGTAGCCAAGCCTTTTCAGGAGCATTCCAAGTGAAACCATAACACACCCTGCGAGTGTCACTACCTCCAGCACATACCAGGTTAGGAGGAGGGCCACAGTTCGTAAGATACTTGCTTACATAAGGTCTACAAAGCCGCCTGATTTAAAACATGGACTGTAATAGTTATATTGTCCACGAGAGTATGGAAATTATCCATACTCTGAAGTTGTTTTGTTTACTTTTTTTCCCTAGGTTCCTTTTTAAGCTTTACTAGAATCTGGCTTCTCTGACCATCATATCACTTACAGAAAAGTGCAGGTTCCCCCATGCACCTGACAAGTTTAGTGTCTTCTCATTTAACTTACCTTTGTGGAGTAGCTGACTCTTGAATGCTCATTGCTCTAGTCCTTGGTTTATTCTAAGTTGCAGTGTGTAATAGGCACTAAACTTAAACACACACACACACACACACACACGAGTCTATCTTCATAACATGATAAAATCTTATTCCCGCTTTGCAGAGGAGAAAGAAGGTGAGTATCAGAGAAAAGATAAATACGCAAAGGTCCTGTGTTTTAAAAAACCTGTAAGACAGTTTGAACCTGTGTCTGGTGACAAGCCCTGTGAACTTGTTACTCCTACTGTGCCTCCAAGCAGAGTGAAAACACTGTGTCAGGGTGCACAGCACCAGGATATAAGTGTCCTATGCTTTCCTGGGATAACTATTTTGCTCAGAGTCAGGATACATAAACTCTGATTTTTAAGATAACAGAGTCAAAAGCAATTAATACTGTAGTAGTTTCTTTAAATTATGCTCCCAGAATCACCATATTGGTGTCATTGTTACTGTAAGTTAGAGCAGTAATTCTGGAATGTGCAACTTGTCAATTATTTCAAAGTGTTACTATAACTTAAAAATTCTCAGTGTCTTGGAACAACAGGACCTCTTCCTTTCACAATGTAAGTTGTACATTGATATCTCCAAGTCAGTTGCCTTGGCTTGTTTTCATATCTCTTCCTCATTGCCAGCTGCTTCCTGGATCCCCACTGAGGGAGAGCAGCACTTCCAAGACATAGCCTTTCTGTGGCAACAGGGAAAGGGCAGTGTTGCTTTTTTTTCTTTTTCTTTTTCTTTTTCTTTTTCTTTTTCTTTTCTGCATTTGAGGGGCATACCTGAGTGTGTAGAGCTCAGCCATTTGTGTCCACTGGCTACAACTCTGAGAAGGACAAGCTAAAGTCAGTGGGCTGGGGCGGGGGAATTCTTCCCACAGAGAGGGCATCATTGTGAGGGTAATACAGTTTACTGCTCTTCCCGTTATGTAGTATCCTACAGTATTATAAGGGGATTTAAATAGGTTTTTCAGAGATGGAGGTATAAACGTTAAATAGATTTGACCCTATTAAATTTAAAAACCTTTCTAGGCCTTGGTGTAGATGTTTTATTTAAGGCAAAACACTCAACAGTCACACGCTTTTTGGTTAGAAGCCTCTGTATTGACTGCTGCACACTGCAGAAAAGCTTCTCACACCCAGGTTAAGAACAGTACTAGTCTATAGGTATAAACAAATATTTGGAAAGAGTTTAACTATGTGTGCCCATTCAGCAAAACAACAGTAGTAGGTTATCAAACATACCCCAGCCCCTGCCTAGGGACTGTATCTTCCAGGCCATGGGCATTTAAGTATGTTTATAGCAGTAGACATGAATTTTCTCCTCTGGAGCAGGCCTTGAATCCAGTGAGAAAGCAGTTTGTTGCCCCCTTATATAATGCTACTATTTCACATATCTATATCTTGCCAAGCAGGATAGTATTGTAACATGCAGGTCTATCCTGGGTAAGTCCACTGAACATTTTTCTTCTCCAGTTTGAAGAGTAGCAACATTCAGCATGGTACAAGGCAGCCAGCCGAGAGGAAGTTTCCATATCAGTTCCAGCTTGATTTCCCTATGTCCAGCAACTAAAGTGTGTTGTGTTTTTAGTAGTTATGTGA